GCTGCAATATCTGCAGCAATGCAGTCGCGACATTTCTCCGCAATCGATCTTTGTAATCCCGTGTCCGGAAACCGTTCTTGGGATGCCTGGCAACTTTGAAGAGCTCATTGTAGGAGATTTCTTCCTCCTGGGACACCTTCACGCTATCGGCCTCGAAGAGGAGATCCCCTTCCTCGCCGGCACACCTGCCCAACACCTGCGCCCAGTTACAAATGTCCCATCTTTCTGGATGTGGACGGAATCCGCGCGAGGGCTTGTGTCTCTCCTGCAGATACTCGCGCACCATCTCCGGACATGTCCAGTTCCACCCCCATAGAAGGAAATCGAGCTTCAGCCCCAGTAGCACATCTTGAAATGCGCGTAGACCGATCTGCGGCACCCTGAGTGGAGACACTCGCAGCTGGGGAACCTTTGACATTGCGTTTCCTGCACACACAAACGTTCTCCCTTTCGCTCGCTCTCTCACAATCGCCACTGCGCGTCGGCCGCTCAAGCACTGACTGCTCACTCTCTCTTCGCTCACGCTCAAGTTCGCTACTCGCAATTCTCTCCAAGGTCTGTCAAGATCCTCGCGCAACTCGTCTCCGCACTCTCTCCTCTCACTGCAGGTCTCTCCGCCCTTGCGCGTAATCTTGGAAGCTGGAAATCGCAAAATCAAGAATGAGAGAATGAGACTGGAGCGCAGTCTTTTCTTCTCCGAATTCAAGAACGTCCAACGTTCTTACTGGTTACAACGTACGCAGCCGGCTATACGGCCTAACGGTTCGCCCTTTGCATGCGCGAATTCACGTCTCCGCACTGCGCGCATTCGCATGCGTGAATGTTGAATTCTCCCGCCGCCGCCGCCTTCCGGACTCGAGTCCGCCGCAGGGTATACGTCGGCTATGTTGTCTTTCCCTAACCCATCCATGACCGAAGGCGCGTCGCCGCTGGCGCGTTCCTTATCCGTCGGCGCCTTGCTGGAGGCGCACAACCAGTCGGAGCGAATTACGCCCGCGCGCATTCGTACCGCTTATTTTGTCCTTTATGCCTCGTCCATTGCTGACGGCGCATATCCGCCAGCGCAAATCATGCCAGCGCATCCGGCCATCAGCGCCACGTCGGAGGCGTACATCCGACCGGCGCTTTCCTTCCATGAGCAGTCGCCAAAGGTGCTTCCGACTCTGAGTTGGTTTCCTCCCATGAGCGCGCGATTCCGCCGAAGGCGCATCGCCGAGGGCGTACGGGAGTCCTTTCCGGCTGTGAACCCTAGCGCGAACGGCGCATGTCCGGCTACGAGTTTTCCGACGCTCATAACTTCTCCGTCCCTGATCCATCTCTGACGCTCTTGGGCTCGTTAGAACGAGCGTCCCGAGCTCTTTCTAATGCGACTTCAACCAACTGGATCTACCGTGTATTCCGATCGTTATGAAGGTTTTCCCTTTCCGCGCTAGCGGCGCATCGCCGAAGGCGCACTCATGGTCGGACGCCTTCAGAGGTCCGGACCCTTCTTCTGACGTCTTTAGCAAAACCTCCTCCTGAGGTGTCTGCGCCGGAAGCGTAGCTTCCTTATACGCTGGAAGCGCGTGAGTAGAGACACCTCAGAAAAGGAGCTTTTGCCGAAGGCGCCGAAGACCTTGGCGTTGGTACATCCGACTACGCGATTCTTCGTGACCTCGTGACGATCTCATCAATCCACTTTATTTAACGTACCCTTTTCTAACTACAAACACTGCTTCGGTACTAGTTTTCTAAAATTGTTTAAATTCTGCAAAAAAACAAAAAGTGTGTTACCACAAGCTCGAACCCCCACCTGGACTACAAACGCTGAAAGGAGTTTAGGCTCACATAGGTCAGGTTCATCTCATGATTATGCCCGGAATGTTTTTTATTTGCTATGGATCCTGTTAGAATACAAGATAAGGGGAGTCTAGATAGACTGCCCTCTTTGAATCAAAACAAACTTACGACAGAAGGAAATTCAAATATCTTGTACGGGGTGATAGCATGAATCTAAACTTAAGATGAACACAGACTGAACATAAATGAATATCTCGTCACTCTTTGGCAGAGAACTGTTATTATGATCAGAAGCTAGATTCTAGGAAACCACGATGAAATTGTTTATGTTGAGAGGTGATTACTTGGCGTGTCAAGAGATCCCTGACTAACAACAGTAACCACGGCCTTCCCACAGACACTTCAATAATTGAACGCTTTGAGCCTAATCATAAGCTAAAATAATGAGCTTAATAATGGGCATGGATGCTACGGTTGCGAAAGAGGATAACCTTTCGGAGCCCTTTGAACTCGGGAAGGTTCTTTTCCTTTTTCGCTTATTTGGATTGAATGAACTTTTCAGGTCGACGAAAGGCCCGTCAATCCCTCCATCGCTAGCCGAAAAGCGTTAGATGGGTGAATGCATCAAGAATCTTGAGCAAGACTTTGAAAACCGAGGACCAGAAAGGAATAAAATGCCGCAGAATGTTCGGTGCGATTGTATAGGTCAGTTGGAATCTAAATCTTTATTTTCTTCTGGTGGGGATTATCTGCGCATGCACCTCATCATCATGAATGGTGTAATATAGTCAACGCTGGTTCTCAGGTCTGGTCTACTACCAAAGTTTGAGTAGTCCAGTTGACCTTTTGATACGGCCGACGCAAATCAAGTGTAGCCTCTGTATACTTTTTCACGTGCTATGCATCGCGAGCTTTAGCTCTGTACAATGCTGACGCAAAAGGACAAGATTCCTACCAGATTTCCCGCATGTCACTTTAGTCAAAGGTGGGGTCCCTTCTCTCGCCACTCTCAGGACGTCTTAAATCCACAGTGAAAAAAGCTGGGATCCCACCTCTCGCCACTACTCCTCACTCTCAGGGTGTCGTAAATTCATATTGAAAACGTCAAGGCCGATAAAGTACGTACTTTGCGACTAGGATTTGGATGTCGACATGTCCGTATGTACGTGAAAGTATCTATGTTCATGTCGCGTCTAGTAAGGCTCCTCGCTAGAACAACCCCGACCGTATGCTCTCCGGGCTGACGGTATACGTAAACCGTTGTCACCGTCACAGTCACCCAGCGGTTTTCACCGTCACCGTCACCCGGAGGTTCCGCGCTTCCTGCCCAAGACGAGACCGGCCGGCCTTTCGTCTATCATTTCTTGTGAGGCATTTCTCGGATTTGCGATGGCGGATCAGGCTAGCTCGGAGATGGCGATTTTTCGAATGATTTCTGCGTAATCGTGAGCTGCAACAAATATGTAATCACGTCTTCCGCTTCTGTTCCAAGTACACCTCGCTGGATGGATCCGATTACAAGACACGGGATGCGAATTGCAGTGACCGATTTGTATGGATCGAAGGTCGTCAAGGCGGCTTGAACCGAAACCGACTCAGTCCACCTAATCTCGAGTACAGCATGGCCGGGAAAGAGCCGTAGCGGCTTATCTTTGACTAACTGTAATTAGGAGGCGCAGGGCTTTGTATTTACATGTGCGCGAGAGGAGTGAAAACAGGAACCTTTTCTGGGGCAGTGATTGCAGGGTCCAAAGAAATCTGAACGTGTTCTGGACTGCCGGTCTCGAGTGGCTCGTCAACTGGGATGTATGGCTTAGGATCTCGAATCAATAGTGCTGTTTCCTGGAATCCACTCGATTAAGTTTGCCGCTATCGAAAGAATCTGCTCTGATAATTGATTTTGAAACTCTTAGAAATGTTAGGAAACGCTCTCGACAAATCTCTCTTTCCCTGCTGACGTGCTGATGGTACTATACATGAACTCCGAGACAGAACATATGGTTCTCAGTGAAAACGTTTGCTCTTTAAACATGTGCAAACAACTGTAATCAAAATTTAGAGGTACAAGTTTGTTGTTGGTCTTAATCTGATACATTAGTGAAACGCTCAGCTCAGACGAGTGATGTCATGTGTGAATCAATGTAGGGATGATTGACTACAAAAACTTGACGAACTTCAAGAAATTCATAAAGTTAGCTGCAAGGAAATGTATAAAAAGACTCAAACTACATTTTGTGAAAACATATTAAATCACTTGTCTATCTTTAGCTTTGTTCCAGAGTTGTCCACCGAAATTTGTACCCGTCGAAGGTGAACTTTTCTCGAAACTAGTGACTGAAGGTGGACGTATGGTCCTTCCACCCCGTGTAAATCTAAGCGAAGGATCTTAATAAAGATCAAAGACCACTGCAGTGGTTCCAATCCTTCATCCACGATTTGAGTTTTCAAGCGTTGGGATCAATTCGTCAAGGTGATTTATCATTAAATCTGACAAATTTGTATAAGCTTCGAGTGCGTGCTTACAGTAATGTTTCCAGGATTACTTTGCGACTCCACAAAATGAGATGTCTTCTACCGAACGTACCATTAACTAAAATGAAAACGTCCCATTCACACGAACTTCTCCCCCTCTGAAACACATCTCCCTACTTCCCTCCCTCCCTCCCCTTCTGAAACATTACTCTATCTGGTATTCGTGTCGTGTCCTTCCTGTCTGCTACATGATGGCCTCACTTTCCCTTTGCCCCGACCTGGAGGGCATGGTGAGCCGCGGGTTGCCGAATCGATGGCTACTCTGCAACGCGAGTCGCTTGTTGAATAGCCACGAGTAGGAGCACGCAGGCAGCTCTGCGCTCGTGCTGCCTTGGCTTGCGTTGCTCGCTCGGCCTTCGGATTGTCTTGCCTCAAGCCGGGCCGGGCTCGCGTCGCTTTGCATCGCGCCGACACGTGTCTACCATCGGGTGCACATGTGTCGAATTTTGATAACAGAGGGTGCCCGCTCGACGGGTGACTTCTTGAGGCGACGGTGTAAAAGGAGAGACCGTCACAACGGTGACCGTATGCCGTCAGCGCACAGTCATACGGTCGGGGTTGTTCTAGCCTGCAGTGTAGTAAGCCACGGTCTGGGTCAACGAGTTCCAGTTGCCCTAGGCGTCAGAGGAGCATAAGATGGATAGGACCGACCACAGGCAGTGAACAAACCGAGGACATGAGCAGCTCGAAGCCAATGCCACCACTTTGTGTAGTGAGACGTCATAGATCACAGTCAGTGAGATCGAATTTGTACTGAAATCGCCCTGAATTTGGAGCTGACCCAAGAGGACTCTTCTCTGTTTTATCATGACCTCATTCTGAAGGAGAGGAGCTTTCCTTTCGTACACTGAGCTCACAATGAAGAGCAGTTCTATACGGACAGATGACACGATGGAGGGGAGTTCTAGACCAGGACAGTCGGAACCGTGGGTTATGTCGATTCCTGACGAAGTTAACAAGCATGTCCATGAGATAAGGCAAGCGTATGATCGTGATCAGGGTGGTCACGAAAAGACTTGCATGTACCTGATTCCCCGACGGATATGGGATGCTGGCAAAGACGATTATCGAGTGCAGATCATTCATTTTGGATTGTATGGGAGGAACCAAGTTGAGATGGATATTATAGACAAAGTGAGGGTGCGTGTCGTCTCCAGCTTCATGGAACAGTTTAATTTGAAATGGAAAGGACTTTGCGAGAAGGTGGTGGGCTCAGAAGAGAACGCACAAACGTTCCTAGACTTGTACAATGAAACTTTTAGAGATAGACACTTGAATGCTTCGAGCGCCATGTCTAGTCTTACTCTGGATGCTGTATTCCTTACGGTGTTCCTCTGTACCAAGATCTGCTCCAAGCTGCGAGAACCCTCGGAAGGTCTCGAGCAGCTCCAAGAACTTCGACAGATCTTCACCGAGGTGGGTGTTGCTTCCGATCTTCACCAGATCTTCTCTGACGTCTGGCTAGTTAAGAATCAGATTCCTCTTGAGCTCATAGGGAAGGTTTTGAGTTTGGTGAAGGATGCTCCATCGCCAGAAGATCTCATCAAAGCCACTGTCGACGAGGCCCTCAGTAGGTTCAAACTTCCCTGTCCACCCTTTCGACGTGCTGATGTGACACTAGAAATCGAGAAGGCTGATGTCCCTCCTCGATTTCTCGATTGCAAGCACTTACTGGAATGTCTCTACAATACCATGTGCCCACCTGGCGAGTCGAACGTAAGTACTCAGCACACTGAACGATTGTCAAGTGCTAACGAGTGTTGGACAACGTGCGGTCGTATTTGTGGATCGTGCACGAAACATGCCACAACTTCGTCCGGGACAGGGGAACCGCAATCGCAAACTGGATCTTTTCAGAAGACAGATAGATGGATATCGTTTAGGAAGGCATTGGAGCTGCAAAAAGCAGGCATCCGCGTGAGGGGCATCGATGCTTGCGTCACGGGATCAGCATTCGAAAGGTCGACGTTTCATTTCACTGCAGTTTTGTCGCTACCGAAGATCCACGTGACGGTCGATACGAGAAGGATTCTGAGAAATCTGTGCGCTTATGAGCTCGCAAAGACGACATCCCCTCACAGCCGCAAGCTCATCGGCTACCTCTCGGTGTTAGACCATCTGATCGACACCGCGGACGATGTGAGGTTCCTGAGAGAGCTTCACAGCTCTGTTCTCTCCGTCTCTCTGCCAGGAGACGATGCCGACCAGCAAGTCGCTGATCTGTTCAACAATCTGCTGCGAGGCTATTCCAGTACTGATATCCAGTACACGGACGACCTGCGGAAGCTCCACAACGACGTGAGTTTTCTCTTCGAGAACGAGCTCAGAAACATCTCCATACTATATTTCGGAAGAATCCGGCGCGAGGCCGAGCGCTTCCTCCGCAGGCTTATAGACAGGCCGTGGCTTATGATTTCGCTATCAGCCGCCGCTTCCCTTCTGGCCATGACCTGCGTTCAGACAACGTTCACCGTCCTCGGCTACTACTTGCGATAGCAGGCCATAGCAATGGTGAACTCTCCGTCTCGAACCCAGTAACCTTTCAGAGCTGGCCTTCCGCAAATGGACACGACATGGTTGGTGTCGCAGTCATGTGCTTCATAGATAGATGTAAATGTCGTTGTAATATGCACCATTCAAAGAGCAAGGAGTGCTCCAATATCTGCTCGATTGAGCTCGATTGAGCGATTGATGAAACCATGAAGCTCCTGCATCGATTGAAAGAATCATGAAAACTGTGTTTGCGTTATTAAGTGTGTGGAATGGGTTACTACCGTGATGACTGTTGAAACTCAAGGGCCATTCACAATTGACCATGTCGACCACAACAGTCCAATGTTATAGAGCAGAGTTATGTGGATTTTCTGCTTCGATTTAGTGCATAACACGTTATTTTGGAGGATTATTTCTGGGAATTCAGTTATGGTCAGAACCGATTGCGTTAGTGAACTAGATAGATAGTGTCTTGATTATTTATAACCTTCTTTTCTTTCGAGTTTTTATTTTAATCTCTATGTTATCTTTTGTTTGGCACTAACTTGAGTGTATAACTAGTTAACATTAAGTTAAAGTTAACCCTAGGTTTAGCTATCAAATATATATATATATATATATATATTCATTCATATTGGCTTCTCTAATCTTTTGACGCAGCATTGAACCTCGATCCCATCAAGAGTCTTCTTGTTGATCTTGTTGTACCTTCGTTCATCACACACTCTTACAGAGACTGCAACTTTACAAGCACATATTTGGCAATTTAAGCCTGCTGATTGATACAAAGAGGAGCAAGCACTGCGTCATTGATTTCTAGTGTGTTTGTATCATCAACAGCAGCAGTGAATTTAAACCCACCTCCGGTGGACGATGGGAATGAGCTTGAACTCTCACGGGGCCCCTTAGGCGGAGCTTAAAACAGAGAAGGAAAACCCAACCAGCGATTATACAAATTTACGATATTTTAGACCTAGCTTAAAGTTATTGCCTAGAAGAGGAACGAACAAAATTAGAGGTAGTTTTAAAGATCATCTTAAGAAGAACGAGACAATACGAAACACCTCGCGGATTCTCTCATGCTCGATGAAGGTTGCTTAATGTCAGTGGTTAGCAAGATCATATGCCAGCAGTGTTTAAGCAAGAGGAACATATTTGAAAGAGGCTTCTACAAAATGTACCACGACCACCACATGTATACCCTGCAGACTTCAAGAATCCGGACCCCAACAGCCCATTTCGTGTCAGTTGCACTCGAGCCGAGTCTTGAGCGATTCCATCTGATCAAGCTTAAATAACCGTACAGAAGCAAAAGCTGATCTTCCTCTGCTCAGTTGGACAACGCCGTTCAACGACTAGGATATCAGTGACGGACCATCGCACTTGTCATGATGCGTCACAGCCAAAGGAAGGAGAAAGTCGTGTTGGAATCTGGTAATCGAAGCAACGCTGGTTCTCAGGTCTGGTCTACTACCAAAGTTTGAGTAGTCCAGTTGACCTTTTGATACGGCCGACGCAAATCAAGTGTAGCCTCTTTACTTTTTCACGTACAATGCATCGCGAGCTTGAGCTCTGTACAATGCTGACGCAAAAGGACAAGAGATTCCTACCAGATTTCCCGCATGTCACTTTAGTCAAAGGTGGAGTCCCTTCTCTCGCCACTCTCACTCTGCACTGCACGGAAGATTGGCAGGGTAGGGAGTTAGTGCGCGGCAGTCCGCCGCGCAGGAGACGTAGCACAGGTTCCGCGGAGTGTAGTGTAGCGTGGTTCCGTGCAGGCGTGTAGCGTAGTGCAGTGTAGTGCTAGGTAGGACTTAGAAGGTATAAAATAGTTCCAGGCGTTTTGCCTGGGGTTCTTTCCCATCAGAAGTGCAGATCAGGAACCCATTTCCTTTGCGTGTTTGTGTCCTTGAGTTCTGTCACCACGCACGAGGAGTTACAACTTAGCGTTCCGCATTTTGTAGCTGAAGGCCTTCGGCCGAATGTTCAGAGCTAGTACATTGGTTAGAGACTTGAGTAGTTCGGATCTGCACCTGCGGGTGACTGCCGATGCTCAGAGCCAGTGACTAGTTAGATACTTGAACAGTTTCGCCCCTACACCCTCGAGTGTTTCTTTCTGATTGTACTCCTTGGGATTTTTCCCCTGAATGCCAAAGTGAAGTTTTGCTACTTCGTGTAAGCCTTGGTTGTAAATTCAGGTTACGCTGCAGCAGGTGCCTTGAGGGTAACCCCTGTAGTATTTCTAGGAATGACAAGTGCCTGAGAATTCAAACTCTTCAATAGACTGTTGCTGTGTTACTGGAATGTTTCTCAGTGAGTCCTTCAGTGCGGACATGTGTTCTCTGCGCGTTTTGTGAGTTGAGAGTGTTGTTCACCGCGTAGGAGTGACTTCGATCCGAAGTAGGCAGTCCAAACCGGGTTTCCTACACTAGCAGCAAGCTAGTGGAAGTGTTGTAAAAGCCGGAGTTGGAAGTCACTGCCCGCAGCTTTGCCGAGTGTGCTCGCGAGAGACTATCCCCCTGAAATCTTGAAGTAGAGGTCCTAACGGATCTCTGGGTTGTGTTTCTGTAGTTTCAGGTGTGTGTGTGTGTGTGTGTGTTATGCTGCACTGTGCGACCTCCGAGTGCGCTCCGAGTGGACACTTGCAGTATTTCTGGGAGTGACAGTTGCCTGATAATTCAAACTCCTCAATAGTCTGTTAAAACGTGACACTTTGTACCCTGTGTGTTCCTCTGTCCCTGTGGGTTCGACCTTTCTACCACTATATAGCAGTTTTAGCCTTTAGTGGGTTATTACATAAGAAGCCGACAACTTCTTTTTGGCGCCGCTGCCGGGGACAGTTGCGTCAACACCGGGGTTTTTACGAGCAGCCATGCTCGGTGAATGTCGACTGGAGCTAGCGGGAGCAACCTAAGTGCGAGAGCTGTCCGCAGGTTCCGACGAGATTCAGAGAAGGCTGTGGAAGAGACACGGCGTCAAAACAAGAAAACACCAAAAAGAGTACCTAAGCCTAGTTCGGCCGACATCCTTGGGGAACCTACCCCCGGCGACTCGGAACCAAACTTGGTGCTTACAGTTCTACTAGATATTCCTTGCACGGACCCTCCTCGTGATTTAGAAACGACCGCCCGAGAACCGTCGACAGACACACCGATGGCGGACGGACAAGCCAATGTGCGGCTACCTCAGCCGATTACTAAACATTCCTACCCAAAGTATAAAGGGAGTGGGGATGACGACGATGCAGATTCATACATTAAGTTGTTCGAATCGGTGTCTATTGCCAATCGCGAGATCGCAGACGACGACCGACTAAGGATCTTTCCAAGCCTTCTGCGGAAGAAAGCGAGGAGTTGGTACAATCACGAGAGCATCGATCCGACTGGGTTGACAACATGGGCCCAGCTGAAGGAGAAGTTCCTTCGCCGCTTCCGTGAGCTCGGCTATGACAGTCGGGTATTGACAAAGTTACGTAATTTGCAGCGAGAGAAGAAGGAGAGTCTGCGTGACTACACTGAGAGATTTCTGGACCTCCTTGACAGAATACCGAAAACAGGACCAGGGTCCCCTTTCTCGGTACAACAAGCTGTGGATTGGTACGTGACCGGTTTAACTCGGGAGATGGAGACTTTTTGCCGACGCAGCAAGTGCGACACTATTGAGGATGTGATTGCATCGGCAGAAGCCTTCGAAACTTCCACTCTCAACCGAAGAGGGAGAGAGATACGGGAGTCAAAGGAGCGAAAACCGAAGGGAGGGCGAAGACGACGTAGAGGTACAACTCCGTCATCGGAAGAATCGTCTTCGGACGAGAACCGTTCCTCATCCGAAGAAGAGGAAACCTCATCGTCGGAGGAGGAGAAGAAGAGGAAGAAGCATGGGGCAGCGAAGAAGAAGGGCACCCGACGAGTGACTATGGACAGAGCGCCGGGAGACATAGCCTCGAAGATGGAGACCCTCGAGACCCAGCCCCACTCGGGTGTACTCCTGTAAAAAGTTCCGTCACTACCTAATCTATTACGAGTTTGTGTTCCATGTGGACCACTACGCATTGCAACACCTAGTCAAGAAAGCCGACCTATCCGGTCGGATCGCCAGGTGGGTGTTGTTGCTACAAGAGTTCACCTACACAGTCCAGACCAGGAAAGGGGTGCACCACGAAAATGCGGATTACTTGTCCCGATTATGGACCCAGCCGACAGAGGAGGAATGGGTGGACGATTTTCCAGATGAAGAGTTATTTCAGTTGTCTGCGGGGCATGAGTCCCGCTATGCCGACCTGTATCGATATCTGCTAACCCTTCAGTGTCCCGTAGGCATGGATTTGGAACAGCCAACTATCTTTATTCATAAGGCAGGCCCGTACCAACTCCAGCAGGGGGTTTTGTTCAAGAAGATGGCAGATGAGCGCTTATGCAGAAGCCTGGAGGAATCAGAGGTACCAAGAATAGTGAGTGCGATGCATACACAGGAGGCGGGTGGACACTATGCCACCAGGAACACGGTCACAAAGATTCTAAATGCGGGGTATTGGTGGCCGACCATGGTGGCTGACCATGTTTAAGCGGCGCCAAAAAGAAGTTGTCGGCTTCTTATGTAATAACCCACTAAAGGCTAAAACTGCTATATAGTGGTAGAAAGGTCGAACCCACAGGGACAGAGGAACACACAGGGTACAAAGTGTCACGTTTTAACAGACTATTGAGGAGTTTGAATTCTCAGGCAACTGTCACTCCCAGAAATACTGCAAGTGTCCACTCGGAGCGCACTCGGAGGTCGCACAGTGCAGCGTAACACACACACACACACACACACCTGAAACTACAGAAACACAACCCAGAGATCCGTTAGGACCTCTACTTCAAGATTTCAGGGGGATAGTCTCTCGCGAGCACACTCGGCAAAGCTGCGGGCAGTGACTTCCAACTCCGGCTTTTACAACACTTCCACTAGCTTGCTGCTAGTGTAGGAAACCCGGTTTGGACTGCCTACTTCGGATCGAAGTCACTCCTACGCGGTGAACAACACTCTCAACTCACAAAACGCGCAGAGAACACAGGTCCGCACTGAAGGACTCACTGAGAAACATTCCAGTAACACAGCAACAGTCTATTGAAGAGTTTGAATTCTCAGGCACTTGTCATTCCCAGAAATACTACAGGGGTTACCCTCAAGGCACCTGCTGCAGCGTAACCTGAATTTACAACC